AACCGTGGAGTCGCAGGACGTAACATAAGCACAGATTCAAATTTTCGCGAGCAACTATTTTCTTATCAATAAAATTCTAGAATAGTGGATAATAGTTTTCAAAAGTTTTGTTCGATCGTAGACAATCTAGTATTTGCCAAAAAGTAAATTCAATTCGTATACCTATGCAAGCAACACAACATAGTACAAAAACGATAACCTAAGNCCAATATTACATTTGTCGTACAACAAAGATTTGAAATATGTTGATTAGCTATCAGATAAAGTTTTATAAAGAACTCTATTTGATAGCCAATCAATATACTTAAAATCTTTGTGGCACGACAAGTTTAATATTAGCCTAATACATATGATATGTGGTTATGCGTACGTACATATTTTGTTTGTACTTACGGTTGTCATTTCTTGATTCTTTTCAATCAAATGATGTTTGCAAGTGCTCTCGTTGCGCTCTGTCTCTTTCTCTCTCTCCCTCTCTCTCTCTCTCACTCTCTTTCTCTTTCTCACTCTCTCTCTCTCTCTGACTCAGCAACTCACTCACTCACTCGCTCGTTTGATCGTCGCTCGCTCACTTGCTCGCTTACTTGCTCTCTCTCTCTCTCTCATCACATATTACAGTTTTCCTCTTTTTCTATCGTTTGCGCTCACCGCCATCTCGTGGAAGCACTAGCAGATAGACGCATTCTTTGGACACATTTCTGGACGCATTTCAGAGATCCAAAACATCGTGAATTTCACGCACATTTTCGATTATCTTCAATTATCTCTGTTCACAAGCCACAGACCGAAAAAACGCAAGAATACTGTTTTGTGTATTTTTTCAACGCAAACCGAACGAGCCCAAGAACAAGTCGATCGGTTCAGTCATTGTTAAGAAATAGCTGATTAAAAATCTCCCCTCCGAAAAACCTCATTTTCGCGTATAAGAGGCACGGCGTGCTCGCGCAATTCGAGCGCCACTTCGTTGCGCGTGAACTTGGCGCAAGGCACTACCGTGCCTCTTGATATTAACGTCATTTTATTATTCATAATAATCAATAGTGAAAGATATTAAACATTTATAGTCTCTGTTATATTCGAGAATATGTTATACAGATATATTTTTACAGATGATGGTATGATTGTCGATCCAATCAATGAGACTCAAGATGAATCATTGACAGAGGTTCTTTGCAATGAAATGTTGATCGGTGAAATCTAAAAGCGGGAACCTTTGTGGAATTTCGAAATTCCTATTGCCGAAAGGGGAAGAACTGTTGTTCAAAAACTATGAGAAGAGATAGTGTCTGCTATAGACGGTATGTTTAAAATTAAGTATAACTATATTTTTTTATAATGTTTTCGAAACAATAATGTGCTTGTCATTGTTTTATAGGTAATATCAAAAATGTCAATGAGGCNAAGAGTATATGGAAAAAATTGCGTTACAATTATAGCCGAATCGTAACACGAGAAAACGATGCCAAAAAAAGCGGTTTGGCTGGTAATAATATGAAGAAAAAGAAATGGCCATACTATGAGATGATGGCCTTTACTTGAGATCTTTTCGTCGACAATTGAAAGTAAATAATCATTATGTAACTCATTATTTGTAAATGAATAACGGATCTCTATGTATTTTGGCAATTATTTATAGAAGAAGTTCCAACATTCCCTCACAGAGAGTTCCATCAACCACTTACAATCATAAAAGCTGCTCAATAGCATCGACTAGCTCATCCTCATCAGCACCAGAGAAAGAGAAAAGGAAACGTAACTTTATATTTTCATATTTCTAAGTTTTTAGAACTNTATCTTTTCCAAAGAAAACTTTTCATAACAAAAGTTTTGAAACTTTGAATGCCGAAATACAAAATACTGTTCATAATATTGTTCNTTTTTCTAACAGAAATTGTTTTGAAAGAGAAGATGAATTAAACTGTATTTTTCTGAAACAAAAAAGTTTAGACAGATAAAATTTATAAAAAACTACTTCTCTGGAAGATATAATTTTATCTTTCAAAAACAATAGTTTTATGAATTTTGTGTTTTTGAAGTTCTATTCATAAGACTAGTTCTACAATACATCATGTCGGAGTCGGAATGCGAATTAATCAATCACAATTGTAATGATTCTCTTACTGCTTGACATAATTAGTCGATTCTCATTCCGACTTTGACAGATGACATTGTAAAACAAAGTTAAGGCTGTAATCATAATCAGATCTTATATTTAATTGTCTTAAGATCTCATTCAGTCAATGAAATGGCGCTATAGTCATTTCATTGGTTGAACGAGATTTTAAATATAAGATCTNACTATGAATACCGGCCTAAGAATTATAATCTGATGAATTATATATCTCAAAACTTTTCCTCTTCAGAAAATTAAGCGTTACCGATTTATAAACTTTTAAGTCGGAAATCCAACTNCTGGCATATAAACGTTGTTACAGNTCGCTCAACTGAATCAAATGAAGCAATGCTGATGAAACTTACTGCTATGTTGGACGCACCTGCACCAGAATTGCCTGAATTGGTTTTGCCACCATTACCTGCTATGCCACAGCAAAATGATGAAATTGAAAATGTGATAGGATTAGTTCGAGCGTCATTAAACAGAATACCTCTTTTGAAAAGACAGAAGTGTATTTTAGAGTTGCTAACATTTTTGTATTCACTCGAAGATTCTTATAAGTAAAAAATAAATAACTATTTCATAACATATTTGTGTCACATTTATTTCATAAAATTATTGTCTTCTTATGAGATTTATCAGTGGTCAAACTCAAAATTAGACTCAAAACTGTTAAACTTGCACAGTAAAATACATTTATACAGTTATACAAAAATTTAATTAATGAAATTAATTATTGACAAGTTAATTAATTATTAACAATTATTTCGGTCTAAGCTTTTGAAAATTGCCAATCAACGGCACCTTCTTCGTTGAAATATTTCATAAATTCATCTCTCACACGAGCAGCTTCGCGTGAATGCGTATTTGATCCAAACCGACGTACATTTCGCATTCCACTTACACTGTTCCCTATATCATAATTATCATTTAAATCTGATTCACAATTATTATCATCAACATTATCAGTATCCCGTATAAAATTATGCAAACAAACNCAAGCCTCAATTATTTTATGTGCATTTTCGACATTCGCAATGATCGGTTTTTTAAAAATCTTCCACTGTGACACATGAATACCAAAAGTGCTCTCAATTATTCTTCGTGCTCTACTCAATTGGTAATTAAAAATTCTTTGATCCACAGTTAATCCATATCTTCCAGGATATGGACGCATCAGATAAGTCGTTAAAGGAAACGCTTCATCAGCTTTCAAAACATATGGTAGTACAAGACCATTCTCGTAAATTTGTTTAGCTGGTGGGAAATCTGNTTCTCCGTTAATTAATGCCTGTCCAATAGATGATTTATGAAAAACTCCTCCATTACTTTGACGTCCTTTAGCGCCAATATCAACTACAATGAATTTATAATTTGCATTGCATATAGCTAATAAGACTAAGCTATGACTGCCTTTGTAATTATAATATGTCGATCCCGAATGTTGTGGACCCTAAAAAATATGTACATTAACATAGGTGTGAGCGCGGCCGCAAAATGTATATATAAATATTTATGTAATATTTATTTAATATTTTTATAAATATTTTATATATTTATGATCTTTTTGCAAAAATTAATTACTTGCTATAATATTAAAAGACATAACAATATAATATATCATCAGATTTATATACTTCTGTCACAAAACTTATCTAGATGATGATCAGATTCTAAAGTTTTGTAATTTCAAACTTACCTGAATTACAACATGTTTACCATCAATAGCACCCACACAATTTGGAAAATTCCATTTATGTCTGACATTGTTTTCGCTTTCTTTCTAATTTTGTNATTTTGGTACCGTTAAAACTAAAAGAGCTAATTTAGTCCACAATGCTTTACATGTTTCCGAAATTATTTGAGAAACTGTAGTCGTTCCACTACCAAATTCGTATGAAATAGACACTTGACTATCACCTGATGCTATATATCTAGTCTAAATAAAATAATATTAATAATATTTAAAAATAAACATTAATTTCAAGTTATAGTGAAAACTTTGCTTTCTAATCATTTAAACCAGATTTTTAAAAGTTAAATTAAAATGTGCAAATAGTTTTATCAAACATAATGTACCGTAATAATATTTATGGATGTGTACATATTTTTTTTTAAATGGAAAATTAATTTTTTTTTCAATGTTAATAAGAAGTAAATTAATATAATAAAGATTCAAAATAATCATAATTGTTAGACGCGTCTTATAAAGAGACAAATCGNGATTAAGTATATATTTTTAGGAATATTCAATGCGCCAACAATATAATAACATAATTAATCAGTTAAAACAATTATAATTAATAATTAAAAGATTTTTAATTATTTGATTTAAATCACGAATTGAGTCATTATAATTGATCTGATTCTTTTAATTAATACATTTAAAAATTACAAATGTTAAATACCTTAATGTCAACAACAGACGCTCTTTAGCTGAGATTGGTGTTCGTATTGCATCCTCTTTAGTAATTAGTGGAGCAATCAGTATTAGTAGATCTTCGAATTGTTCTTTGGTCATGCGACAGTAATTTCTGAACATTGTTGGGTCATTTAAAATGATAAAATACACTTGATAAAAAGCACAAAAATATGGTCTATTCTGACACAATTCTGACATCCAAAAGCGTTTTTGTTTGTATTTGTTTGTTTTTTTATAATAATTGATAACGCAGCTATTATAGCCAATTTTGCGTCATCGTAAAAGTTGTTGGTAAATATAATAATCTTGTCTATATTTGATTACCGCCATTTGCACTTGATAGTTATAAAGAATTTTTGGATCTATAACTAGATAAAAAATAATGTGATTAAAAAATAATATGATTATTCATTCTTTATAGAACTTTTTAAAAGCGATAATGCAACATATATAATTAGAATCAATTCAATAAATAAATTAAGTTTATTACTCTGTCTAAATTTATGCGTCTGAGAATTATTAATTGTAATCGACGTTTACACTGCAATAGAAAATTCAACAATTATAAAATCATATAATCCAAAATGGATAGAAAGAAGTCGTGCCAGATAATTTCTTGACTGCAGTAGTTCTTCATCTTCTATAACTCCATACAGAAAGTTACGCTTACTCACACTCTATAAAATCAATCAAGTTGTGTGTGTGCGCGGCGTTTATGTACATAATTATGAAAGAACAGCTCTGCTATGGAGTCGTAGATTATAGAAAGTGAAAAACGGCTGCAGTCAAGATTTTTTTTGGCATTTATCTCCTTACTCACCTCCCAGCAAACACAAAGTAACGTAACATTAATTTTTTAGGTTGAATTTTGCGCGGGGCTGTTTCTCTGTACGGCAGAGTTCAACGCGAATTACGTGTAAATGATACGACACTGCAATGTGTGACGGATAATGCTGTTCTTTACACGAGTACATTGGAATGAAGTGTTTGATGATTAAATTATGAGAGATGGCATCCGCGAAAGCCACTGTAGTGGCGCGTCGTACAGAAAGATGACATCCGCGAAAGCCACTATAGTGGTGCGTCGTACAGAAAGATGACATCCGCGAAAGCCACTATAGTGGCGCATAGTGCCTAAGAGGTTAATGTTATAATTTCCCACTTAACGATGTAACTGCAATGTAACATGCCTTGTACGTAACAGTTACATTGTTGAGTGGGAAATTATAACATTAATGTTACGTAACTTTGTGTTTGCTGGGCTCTGATCTAGTAAAAAGGATAAAGAAATTTTTTATTGATTCTCTTAAAGTTAGAATATTTCTCTGTACATTCTTCTTTCCACATCTCTAACTGAATTTCTAACTAAAAACCCGATTCAGTTTTGCANTTTAGTCGGCAAATTTAACTGAAATAGACCGAAAAAAATAAACTACTGAGCCAGTTTACCTCTGATAAATAAATAAAGTATTTTAAATTAGAGAGAGAGATTATTAGGTTAGATTATTATATATATAATTTTCTTTTTTTTTCTTCTTTGCTTAAGTAGCGCGTTGCTCCTTTGCGGGAGGAGCATATGCCAAACTGAGATTAGCTAGTACTGAGATTACTGGTACTTNCTAAGACACTTAAAACTTGTCCAAAAATATCTTATGTAACTACGCACGTTACGTCGAGTTGTCAAGGAATGTAAATATATATAATTTTTATGTTCCACAAGAAATCAAGAAACATTAAAATCCGAGTATATTTGCGGTGGCACACACATTTCGGCGCTTCAACGCCAAAAAATCATGGAAAACTCAATCCTCATGACAGCTCCGTTGCTTTAGCGCCGTTTTCTTGCCATTTACCCTCACCATTCGCTTTTCGCCAATCAACGCTCGGTGTCAAAGCGCCGGTGTCTGCATGAGGATCCAGCCTAAGAATATTTTTTTAACTTTTGAATTTTCCGTGGTTAATAAATAACCCGTATTATGGCTGCGTTCCGATATTTACTCCAAGTATAAAAATCTATACTTCATATCACATGTATTATAGATTTCGAGTTCTGGCAATGAATATTGAAACACAACCTATTTTGGCGCGAAGTGATAAAGCAGTAAAAAAAATTAATATAATGAAAAACATCAAAACATCAAAACATCAACATGTGTCGAACCAATTGCAGGACGTCACGTTCCTTAAGGTAAATGTCCCAATACTTAAACGTTTAAGAGAGCTGTTTAACTTATATGATTGATTACAAATCATACCCGTATAATTTAACTTTTGTTGGTGAGTATTAGCATTTATTTAAAAAACCAGACTATATTTTCACTACATAAAGCTTTAACCTTTTCGCTCCGGGACTGGTCCATATATGGACCAGCAAGAAAAGCGAACGTAATAGATGTTTATAAGGTCAATTTAATGCACTAAATTTAGGAAAAAAATTGAAAAAAATCCTGGTTACTTTTTTGACCGTCAAAATTAACTTTGAAGGGGGGTAGCAGGTTATTATTAACTTTTTCAGCTAAAATGCGAGGTCAATTTTAAAGGAAAAATCCCCGGAGCAAAAAGGTTAAAGAACTGGTTTATAAAGAAAACCAAAGTAAATTAATCGAATTCTAACATACTTGCTATGGCTCAGTGCTAAAACANGTTTTCTAACTTGTCCCAATACTTAAACTATCTTGTCCCAGTATTTAAACGCTATTATTAACACGACAATATAAAATAGGAAAAAAATTATTCGTGCATTTTATTTCATGAAAAGTTATAGATTTATTACAAATTACTAAAAACTTTGAAGATTTTACAAAACTAGAGATTTTACAAAACTAGATTTTACTTAGAGTTTCATAACCTTTTGATAAGGTTATGAAAACAAGTAATCTACTTTATCATATAATATTTAAATATTTTAGTTAAAATATTATTATTTTAGTACGTTTAGATAAAATGAAACCATGAAAACACAAAACTACTTACTGATTTGTTGCAAATTATGTTTTGTCGCACAAATATCACTCAATACGTGTATGCAAGACTAACTACGCTATGATGAATCAAGTGTTTAACAATTCCGCCACCGGCGGATTCTCGTACCAGTACATAAACACGATAATTTAATTATTATAACTAAAAATTAAAANTAGAACANAGTTTTTTATCAATCTATAGTCTATACTGAGTTTGAAAAATCTTTGCTAAACAAAAAGTTTATTTTGTATTCTTTAACCTTAAGAAGAATATACTTTGTCTTACGCAAACCGCTAACGTAAGAGTTGAAAATGCAATAAATTTGCTACTACTCTCAAAAACTATTTTTTTTGTTATTACATCTACTGTTTAGAAAACTTTTATTACAATGTTTTAATAATAATACAATTAGAAATATTAATAAAACTTTTGATTACTGTAAGTATCAGTAAAATAGTTTAATATAAATAAAAATTTAAGTGTTTAAGTACTAGGACACGTTTAATCACTGGAACATTTACCTTACCGTTTNGCTAATGGAGATCTTATAATAGAAACTGATATTATTTTAAAAAATATTTAACTGAACAATGGTTCTTAGAAGCAAACACAGATGTAGAGGTGCAAATTTTGACTTTGTTTATTATAAAAGTAGAACGTTTTCGACCTGTGGTTTAGGTCATTTTTAATACAATCTAGAAGTGTAATAATATAATATATAAAAACAGCGCAAGTTATAAAAATGGTCTAGTTTAATAAACTTACAATGAGTGTTGGTAACAGACGCCGGTGTCGACAGACAATAAATGTTATAGTGAGTCCGCAACGTACAAGTAAGAACTGACAAACTGGCGGCTGCACAGTGTGCAAAAAATTTATATACAAAATTCAAAATTGTGACAATCGTCGTGTACAAGTTATCCGGAGTTATCAACAAGCGGTAAGTAAACTTTGTCTAGGTTTTCCGTGTCGCTATGTAAATTAAGACTGTGGAATTGGTTCTTTATATGTAACGTTTCAGAGATCAGGCGTTTATGATAAAATCTCTCAGTATCTAAGATTTTAACACAGTCCCACTTAAAATCATAAGAATAGTCGTTTCGGTGGTCAGTGATCACAAATCTCTGGGTAGTATTTCTGTTAATATACTATAACATTTATTGTCTGTCGACACCGGCGTCTGTTACTAACACTCATTGTAAGTCTATTAAACTAGACCNTTTTTATATATATATAATTGCGCTTTTTTTTATATTATATTATTACATTTCTAGATTGTATTGAAAATGACATAAACCCCAGGTCAAAAACGTTCTACTTTTATAATAAACAAAGTCAAAATTTGCACCTCTACATCTGTGTTTGTTTCTAAGAGCCATTG